ACTCAAAATACTGAAAGACTGAAATCTTTTTAATTCACAAACCTGCCTTTGTATCTTTGGATTTTAAGGAGGGAAGTGCCAGGAAAACACAGGCTTGGAAGGGTGCCACTAAATTTGGTATGTGTTAGTATTTCAGGTCCTAATTTTTAAATAAGTTGCTCTTTGTGTATTAGGTAGAGGAATAAAAATACACACATACCTTTTGCTCTGAGGTTTTCATTTGTAAGGGAGTCCCTGATGTTGGGGGCAGGGTGTGTGTGTAATTCAGTCTTGGTGTGGGAGTGTAATGAGGCTTGAGCCTGGGCAGTTCAGAGAGTTCGAACAGCTCCTGGGAAGAGCAGTTAAGTTGAAAGAAAGTGGGTCCCTTTGGTTTGGTTAACTAAATTCCAGCATTTCTTAGGTCTCCATTGTGAACTTTCCTTGGTTTTTGACAACTGTGTTACTCCTGCATTTTACAGAGTGTTGCTTCCTTGGAAAAAACATGAGAGCAGGGATTGAGTTGTGCATGGAGATGAGGTATTGAATGCTCTGTGGTACCATCACTAGCAAGGTGAATAGAATAAAATGTTGCACTGCCATTACATTTTCTCATTTTCTTTGTTCAAAAATTTTTCCTACCTATATGCGTAGATTAACTTTTGCAATTAAGTTGGTTATCACTTCTTTTTGAAAAATATGGATGAAGACCAGGGTAAAGTGAAGTCCAAAAGTCCTAGTGAAGTCATATTCTAAAAATATGATTAAGAAAAAGGTCGCATATGAAGAGAAGGTGTTACATAAGAACAACTTCAAAACCTTGTATTTTGGAGGTTTCTAGTATTTGAATAGTTCATTTGTCCTAGTTTTATGAAAAAATAAACTATATATATATATAGTTTTTATATATATGATTTATATATATATATAGTTTGTATAGTTTAAATTTAATAAGACCAACTGCAAGATGCTGGATCTGGGTTGGGACATCCCCTGATATCAATACAGGCTGGGGGGATGAAGAGATGGAGAACAGCCCTGCTGAGAGACTCATCAGAATAGCTGGATTTTTGTTTAGCTGCAAGTCTCATTCTTTCTCATCTGTTTATAATGCAGAGATAATTTTTTTGTTCCTAAAAAGGCAGCTGTCTAGTAGAGCAAAATATCTAGTTGCAAGTAAATTGTTTTGATCTACAATCACAGGTATTTCCTTGTGACATCTGACAATATTGTATTGATATTTAAATTCAGAGCCAAAAATCAGCAGGTCCCAGACTTTTCTGTTTCTCACTTCACTTGTAGACGTATAACATAATATGACTCCTTGAGCTCTAGGATAAATATCAAAAGTAATGTCTGCCAGGCTCACCATTCCAGTTGTGACCAGTGAGACCTCTGTTTGGGAAGCCACTGCTTTAAGAAATTGCCTTAGGGATTTTTGAAACTTGGCAGTAGACCAGAATTTCAGATATGGATACTTAAGTAAAACATCTGGTTCCCACACTTTACCAATTACATTTTTCTTATGCAGCTTAAATTTCTTTTTTATATAGCTGAATGTTCACTTAAAATGGTTCATGCAGGACTGGGAATCCTGGTAAACTGCTTGCGCATTTAGTCATGTTGAGTTCTTGGTTCTCCTCTCATGTATGTACATTTCCTTCCAATTTAAATAATCTACATTTATCAGATAACAATGCAGCATGCATAAAATATAAGCTGTTGGTTTATTTCATTGTGACATTGTTCTTAATAAGTGGTTGTTTTCTTGGTTAAGAACAGTTTTAGGCTGACACTGAGTAAGATAGTACTCATGTTTGCAGATGTTCAGGCATTTTAATCCGGTATTCTGCATACTAGCAATCTTGAGGTAGTAGGGTGAGACACTGAATGCCACAAAACCTAATTGCCCCTTTTATGGTGACAAAATATTTCACAGAGATGTTATTGTGCTGACATAATCCCTTCAGCCATGGTGTTCAGTTCTGACAGGTTTGTGTGATTCATTTGCATATGTAATAATTGGGAAGCCCAGACAACTCACAGTTGTCAGTTGCTTATATGAAGTGGCTCTAGTAATTTTAGAAAAATTTCCAATTTCAGAGATTTTATTTTTAACAATTACCATATTGTAACAAAAACATGGTTACTGCTGAAGCTCCAGACCAGTTGTTTCCATATACAGACTCATTAACATATGCAGACTCATGTATGTAAGCTTTTCTCTCCTGGCCATGAACCTTTCAGTCTCTTACGTTTGCTACCTCTGTTCTAAGCAGTTTTTTTGGGGGGACCGTTCTGAGCCAAACCCTATGAGAAGTCCCAGAAAGACTCTTGTTCCCACCAGTATCTCTTTATCAATCAGGCTTCTAAGGGGTACAATGTCATTCTTCAGTGTAGTAGACATCTATGCTTTTAAGTAATTTTGGAAAACTGTTTGCAAAAAAGATATTTTCATTCATCTACATGACAGGTTAGGGGAGGGGGAAATTCCTCTAGCAGAGTTTTTCTTCCTTTCATCTGATTTACTGGCCCAAAGCATTCCCACTTCCTTCCTTGACACTGAACGGGTAATGCTAACCATTCAGACAAGCATGAAACTTTTTACAATCTTAGTGTTCACTCAAACTATAGCTCAGATTAAAACATGGATTTGAGTGGTAACTAATTAAATGTCTTAGCAATGGAATAATTTGAGAGTTCAAAACCAGCTATTTAACTTCGACATTTATCAGAAAAAGATACTTTTAAACTTACTTCAAAGATATCTCAGAATACTTGAAGTAGTTTAAGCTTTGTACTAACACATAAATGCAGTATGAAGAAGAACAGTCTCTAAAAAATGTAAAATAGTCAGAATTTGAAAAAAGCAAAATCCCAACAAAGTCCTGAATATTGTAAAGTTGTTGCATCCAATCTGAAATCTAATGGAAAGAAGCACCTGCTTTAGTTTGCATACTTCATAGGTAAACAGCAAACAGTGATCATAAGCAACTAAGCCCCTATCCTCTGAAAGCTATGTTCATATTTATACCCAATGAGGCTAATTCTTAACCCCATTAAAAATAAATTGAGAATTACTTTTGTACATTTTCCAGTTTGTGTGTAACATTGCTATACAGATTGAAGAGAAAAAACCCCAGCTTTCTAAAAAAAGCTTTTTTTGTTTTAAGTGGAAACATTAAGAGGGGGGGATGAATAATTCTTGATATTTATAATTCAATTATGTGGCTGTAGGTTTCTTTGTATTCCATTTTCTGTTTGGGGTTTTTGCTCTTTTTTTTTTCCTAAATGAGTTTTTAATAAGATGAACTCGCATCTCTTCTTCAGAATGGAAGCTGTACAGTTTGCAGTCGGAAGACCCCCAAATAGTTTGTGGTTGCTTAGCGTTCCAGGCAACATGTAGAATGAATTTGATAATTTTGTATTAGGGGTGAAGTACTGGAAGGGGTTGAAGTACCGGACAGGGTTTTCTCTGAATCTTACAGAGTGCACATGTGGAAGACGCTCAGGTCAGTAGTCCACTGGCATCTGTCTGTGTTCTTATTTGTACTGCTGTTACTATGCTTGGATGGTACTGTGGGATGGTACAGGGAAGGCTAACAGAGGGAAATACACAAAGGTTTTCCGTTGCTTCCATAGCCGTACTTAAGAATTTGACAGGTTTTTTGTACTTAACATTTCTGCAAGGAGAACTAAATGTGCATGCTAGAATGTTTGATCTGGTGTGAAGTATTTAAGACTGACTAGCATGTCTGAAGGGTTTACAGCACTGTGCACAGGAGAAAAGTCAGACAGGAAGACTTTGTAATAGTTCAAGTATACAAGTTTGGTATTTACTTAACTGTGTTCCAGTTCAGAACTGTAACCTCTTCAAGTCTATGTCGTGTCAGGATATTCAACTACTCCAAACAAAGCAGGTTTTTTATTGGTTTCTTTTCTAGTTTTTAAACTCAAAACTAAGCAAACAGAAAAGCATCACCTAATAGTTACTCAGTACTTCCGCATGAAGTGCCAAGTGTGCATCATTGTCCTAGAAGTCACAGCTCATGAGAAATCACAGCATGAAAAAGTCTGTTATTGTTGAGTATATATTTTCTATGATTTCTATTTGCAGTAAAGAATAATATCTAAAATATTACGTATGTGATAAAACATGTATGTAGGAGACAATTCTGAGGCTGAGATTTGAATCTTTAACTTTGATTCTCTTGACTTTCTGCTGCATGTTTTATATTCATTTTTTGTTGGTTATTGAACAAAAATAATGATGGCTGCAGCATGAAAGAAAATCAATAGATCAGAATAAAAATACAGGATGCATGTCTTGAGATAGCAAGAAGCAGCAGGGTTTACAGATACCAGTAACAGTTCTGGGATCAAAGTCAATATAGTTGCTTCAGTGAAACCATCTACTTGAGTTCATTAGTCCTTTTTTGAAACAAAACCATGAAACGCATACTAGATCCTCCACACATCTGGAAATTTCATAATCTAATATTTACTTTTGCATCCTTTGTGAAGAGGACTGCAACTCTGACTGAAGGCTTGTTTTGTCCTTGCACCACCAAGAAAGGGGGAAAATGATTCTTCATAGTGTAGTTAGACTGTCAAATAGCATGAACTAGTATAATATGTATACTGAAGGCAAATATTGCTGATAGGTTCGTACCGTTCTTGCTCTGAATGGAATGCATAGTAGCTACCACTCAAATTTCTAGTGCTGTAAAGTGTGATTCTTCAAACTAATATGAAGAGCTATAAATATGCATTCAAAACAGCATAAAAAGAGTGAATTATATTTGATCTTGATCTATAAATGACATGTTGTGTTTTAATCTAGAAAACTGTTATAAATTGAAATGTAAAATGAAAGAAGATAATGCCATTGGTGGTTTGCTGTAGTTGTAGAGTAAACAATACCATTAGTGTTAGGAATACTTCATGTGGTATGACACCAGTCAAAATCCTTATATCATGTCTTCTCCTTATGTCTCCCTTTCTTTTCACTTATGTCTCCACAGTGCTGCATACCCAAGGTCCCATTGATGGCAGTCTCTATGCAAAAGTGAGAAAGAAGAGCTCTTCAGACAACAACATCCCTGGTGTTGCTCAGGGTGCTCCTGTGACTGGCAGTCCTGATCACAGTGATCATACCCTGTCTGTTGGTAGTGATTCAGGACACTCCACAGCTTCCATCAGGACAGACAAGACTGAGGAACACCGTATGCCAGGAGTCAAATGTGGTTTGAGCCCACAAGAGAAGGCAGAACTGGACCAGCTCCTTAATGGCTTTGGTCTGGAGGATTCTGTGAACACCACCAAGGATATGACTGATGCTCAAAGCAAGTACAGTGGGACTCACCACATAGTGCCAGCTCAAGTTCACATGAATGGAGTCACCAAAGTGAAGGACAGGGAGACTGATATACTGGATGACGAAATGCCTAATCATGACCTTCACAGTGTGGACAGCATTGGAACTTTGTCTTCCTCAGAAGGGCAGCACTCTACCCACCTAGGGAACTTTAGTTGTCACAAGAGCAGTCAGAACTCACTGCTTTCAGATGGCTTTGGAAGTAATGCTGGGGAAGAGCATCACAATGCTTTTGCTGCAGACCTGGGAATTGGTGTGGATCTCCTCTATGAGAGATCATTTTCAAGAACTGAGCCAAAGTCAACTCAGCAATTGCAGCGGAATCCTTCTGCCTCAGCCCATCCTCAAGCCTATGGCCCAAGTAACTACTCTACTCAGTCCTGGGTGCGCCAGCAGCAGATAGTCACTGCTCACCAATATGGTTTTGCCCCAGAGAATGAAATTAGGGTTGGCATTCATAATGCTGTGGAGAATTTGGGCAATGTCCAGAGCCAATCTCGAGTCCCAGACATGCCAACACGTGGCTCCAGCAGCAGAGATGCTGTGCAGAGAGGACTAGGAAGTATGCTGGGTGCTGCAGAAACTGAGGAACATGCAAGTGCTGAGAGTTTTAAGTCAAGGCCAGTGCCTCAAAGGAACACAAATGGCCTGAATCTAGGACAGAATGCTGGGGACTTGCCAGCTTCTCCAACTTTGGATATTGATCAGTCCATTGAACAACTGAACAGGCTGATCTTGGAGTTAGACCCTACCTTTGAACCTATCCCAACCCGCATTAACACTGTCACCAGCGACGGAAATCAAGTAAATGGCTTTGCCAACCTTGATGTGAATGTGGAAGAGCTTGAGATTAGTCCTGTAGGCCGTGACAAATTAGAGGTCACAAACAGGAATCACTCCCGGCATGGTAAGCTGTAATACTTTCTGAACATAATGCTTTTTCTAGCACCTGTGTGTTCATGATATGGTACAGCAGGACCCTCAGGTCATGACTTAAAACTTTGAGGATGATTATCAAGGGATTATTTCTGATATCCTCTTTATGTAACAATCCAAGATATTATGGAATCAAATTGATGTAAGATAAGTGAGTTTTGTGGGTACTTGGTTTTTTGCTTGAAAAAAATACTGTTCAGCAAGTTCTTATCTGTTGTGGATCATCAGCTGGGATTTTTTGCTGCTGTAAGTTTAAGGGAGCAGAATTTGTACATTGAGACATTCTTTGAAGGCATCTATAGTTTGTTTGTTTTTTTTTTCATTATTTCCATTTGAAGTGGGAGAAAAAACTCCAACAACTTTATGTTCAAGTTTAGTGCAATGCTGCTGGCATTAAATTTTTTATGCAATATTTCTATAAATAATGTACTATTTTCCAGTAAAGTATTTTAAAACATGCTCTTTCTGAAACCTTTTTCTGTTTAAAAATTTACACGCCCCAGTGCTTGCTTGTTATCTCTGGTTCTGAAATGACTGTAGAAATCAATTGGTGGAATTAAACATGCAACACTTGCTGAATATATTGCCTAAGTAATGCTACTAGAACTAGCAGCTTTGCAAAAGGATGAGTAGTCTGCCTCTGGCTAAGTTCACTGAAACCTGTTATTAATGGTGTAGCTAAAATTTATGACAAACAAGCTCTTGCTGGTCTTACTGTCATGTTTGAAGAGCCTATGTGGTCTAATTCCTCTGGCAGGACATATCCCCTTACCTTCCTTCCTCCCCTTCCATCTTCCTCTTCTCCCTCTTCCTGACTCCAGTCATGGTGCAATGAAAGAATAGCTTGTGTCTCCATGATTTGAGGAGCTGACATGACAGAAGATGTGCCCATGGCCTCATTGAACACAAATGAGCTGCTTCAGCTCAAGCCCTGTAGGATATGCTAAACCAATCAACGATGAATGTGCCTAACTACTGTGTGGTTTCTTTTAATGTTCAGGCCTTACGTGATTAAGGATGGGATGCTTGTAGAGAAGGAGAAATCACAATTTTCTGTTTAGGAGGGTAACCGAGGACTAAAGAAGTCCAGAAATCCATGATGCATATATGTGAGATGCTTCACTGCTTATTTTTAATAAATGATATCCATTTTGTGACATTAATTAGTTTGTAATTCTCTTGAATCTTTTCAAATTATTAGCTGATGGACAAATTGAGATTTTTTTCAGCAGGAGAGAACTCTTCTCCTTATATACAGTAAATCTAGTGAAGGGGATAAAAAGGTCACTCAGAATAAGCCACCTTTTACAGTTCTGTGTTTAAATACATGAAGCTAAAAAGAGATATTTGAATTTCTCTCAAAAATTCTGGTCATCTCCCAAAGGAAGTAGGAGTCACTTCCATTTTTAAAGTCAAGTAAATAAAGACCAGTGTCCTTGGGGCATGTTCTGGAAGAGGATTTGTTTTAGAGAATTAGTAGTCAGGAAGCAACATAAGAACAGCCCTTAAACAATATTTAAAAAAAAAATTAATTACTTTGTGTAGTTTTAGCACAATATAATAATTTTTTAAAGTTTGTCTTTATGTCAAGTGCTAAAATGTTCTTTTTCTGACTTCTGCAAGTAACATTCAGTTCAGACTAGCAAGAGTTTGATTTTAAACCTGCTCATGGTTCCAAAGGTAAAACAACACATAGGTGGCGTGCTGTCACCTCTGCTTGAGACTGGGAGTTCACCAGCACAGACTGATTTTCCAAATGCTGTAGAATGTATTTATTTACGTATCTGGACTTGCCCCATTGATATATAACAGAATCATTTGTGCATGGTGTGCACAAAGCAACAAGGGGAAAAAGCAATTTAACTGAAAGAATGTTAAGAATTAGGAACACTGGAGTGTTTTTTCCCTTGATACACCATTGATCTGAGTCACTGGATTGAGAACTGGCTGCAAGTCAGGTCTCAGAAGGTTGTGATCATTGGCACAGTCTAGTTGGATGCCTGTAGCCCAGGGATCAAGTGCTGAGTCTAGTCTTGTTTAATTTACTGATGACTTGGATGAAGGGGTAGAGTGCCTCCTCAGCAAGTTTGCTGATGACGTAAAGCTGGGAGGAGTGGCCATAATCCTGAATGTATTGGATGTGGTTTATCTTACCTTGGAGTAGCCTCATAGAATTTTATAGAGTTAAGATAAGCAGGCGAATCTCCAAGGCAGTTAATTAGCTATTTAAACTACTGTGGCCCAGGAGCTGTAACTGATAGCACAAAGAAATGCTGACTGCTATGGAGATGAAGAAATAGTCATGAATAAAAGCATAGCCAAAACAGCAGTTGCTCACAATGGTTGATCTTACATAGTCAGGTTTTAGGGGAAGTTCTATACCCCATGACTTAAACAGCCCTTGACCTAACAAGTATATTAAGAGAATGAATTTGCCTGTGATGGAGGGAGTTGGCAAATCAGGACTGAATGGTCTGAGTGAGGTTGAATGGACGAATGAGATATTCTGAATGAGTGGGAGCGAACAGTGCTGGAGGTGAATGGGATTGCCAGGATGCGTGATATGCATGTGTCTAATTTGAGACTGAATTCCAAGAGGATGGTGGAGTTATCTGGTCTCCTGCATGAACATGCAGAAAATGTACGCCTTAAAAGGCATGTGCATGTTTCCAGTGCCCCACAAAGCTGGAAGAATAAGCTTAAGAATGAACTGTGTGTGTGTCAGCTGGGACGTACATTATAGTGCATTCTTGCCTCTGCTCATATGATTCTGCACTGATTCACAGATAGGCAGCTACCTCTCCTTTCATGCTGCTTCTTAGATGTTTTTATTCCCTTAGCATAGGTCAACATGGCACAAACTATGTTTGTGCAAACTATGCACAAACTCTGCTGCCCATGCAGCAGAGTTCTGGGTTCTGTCTAAAATGATGCCTTGGGTTAACTGGTCAGTGTTTTTGAAGATAGGAAGAAGCAGACAGTGATTGTTGAATTTCTCTTCCCAGGAGGTATCTTTATGAACCATATAAAACAGTGGCTGGTGACTGCTTTTTTCCTTCAGTGGTACGTGTGAATCATTGCACTGTATGTTAAGATTTTTCCAATTTTTATCTTTTATGTGAGCTGAGTTATGCAGAGGTGAGTTTCTGGTAGTCAGGGGAGTTGCTGTTTACTAATAACACAATGCTGCAATAGTGTTTAATTTTAAATGACAGGAAGTTTGTAGCATGGAGAAATTTTGATGTGTGTACATAAGCTTTTATCTGCAGCCTTATGTTCCCCCTTTATTTCACTCTCTGTGTATTCTTTCATGCCTAATAACACATGACTCAGCCTACTGTTAAAGGTATTTGTAAGACTTACTTTCTCAAACCAACCATCTTTTAGTGCAAGGTTTGTGCTTATTAGGTAGTGAAGGAAAGCTAAACCAATGTTTTGCTTCTACCTAGAAAACTGTAAAAGCAAGAATCTTAATAAATTTATAAAACAGAAAGGTTTTTACCCATTTTCATTAAAACCTACCATTACTGTCACCTGTGTCTCACCTTGTCACTGTTAAAATGTAACAATTTGCATCTTTAGAAAAATGTTAGATGCAGCTGAGATGTGATCAAGCTAAAGGAGAATGCAGGAGAACACAGTCATTCAAGATTTGAGGCAGCCTGTTTCAATTTCTGTGACCAAGAGATGCATTTCTGTCTGAATTGGCCAGCATGAGGAAGGGTGGGACTGTATTTTCCATAAGATTGAAATATATGTTGCTTTCAGCTCATTCTAATTCTTCTTCCTGCATAAGTTACTGTGTTTGAAATTATTATCTTAAAACATATCTAGGTCACCTAATATTGTAGGGACAACACAGATACACAATTCATACAGCCTTTCATTTTGCATGGAGTTTATATAGCTTATCAGCTCAGTAAAGAATTGTGCATTAAACAAAGCATTAAAAAAATAAAAACAAGGTGGCTAAGCATGTGATTACAGATGTCTAGAATATCTTCAGAGATCTTTCCTCTATTAAAAGTAAATATTTGGAGATGGTCTAAAGTACAGTATCATAAATCATACTACAGTGCATCTGCAGACAAAGGAGAGGGGAAGAAATCCTTTTTGCATACTTTATTAAATAATAATTTTTAAAAGCATTGAACTGTTCCAGATGTTCCCATTCACTTTGCTATTCTGTGGGAGAGCAGACTCAGTCTATCTGAAATAAGTTGTGATGTGAGAGAAGAATAAAGCTTGTCCAAATCTTCACCTGCCTTATTTGTATGTACAATACACTACAAAAACTGTTGTAGTTTTCATTGCACAAGAAAATTTTGGTATCTGACTTGGGAGGTAATTTTACAGTGGTTAACAGTAAATTTGAACTGATATTTTAGCTAAATTAAAAGTAAAAATTGATTTTTTTAAGTTAAAACTGGAGTTTTAACTAATCTAAATTTTAAAACTGAACTAAAACAAATAGTTAAATTAATTTTTAACCTACAGCTAAAACCTGAATTTTAGTTACATTTAGCAGCACTGTAATTTTTAATTTAAGTTGTGCCATGTACTTAACTCCACAAATTTTTTTTCCATCCTGTAATTTTCAGGATGTGAGCCTGCATGTAGCATCATTATGAACTCGCTCTAATGGTTTGGAAATACCATTTGGGATTTTGCAACAGGCTTGCTGCCCATCCTCAATGTAGTGTAAAAGGGCTAAGAAACTGAAGTGTCCAGACCTGCAGAGCTGCTCTCTGCCCTACATGGACAGGTTCGATGGTGTGCTTGGATTTGGGGTAGAGTTTAGACCTTTTCATTCGCTTGTTAGACTAATGGATTATAAGGAGTCTACACTCTTAGTCTACTAACTGCTGTAGATATGGGTAAAAAGAATAGTTTGGTTGTAAATCATTGCTAAATATGGTGTGCAGCATCACTTTGTACTACATTTTAGAAAGATTAATGCACTGAAGATAT